GCAATTGTCACAAATGAGCAATGCTCGGCCAGGGAGCAGGAGGGTGGCAGGCGCTGGTTTGAAAATGGTGGTAATTTACCGCTTCCCCATCCAATCAAAGCGTCAATCGAGAGGGCGTTGTTGTCCCAAATGAGCCCAACTAGATCGGATGGGAAGGTGGTATGGGCGAGGTGGTGGCCGTCAGCGGCGTGTGGTGCGCTAGAAATCGAGGACATACAGCAGCATAGGAGCGGGTTTGGTCCTATGCACTTGACAGCATGCACCGCTCGGGAAAATGGTATAAAAACGCGGTCGAGGCCGCACGATTTGGTTTACAATAGCCTGGAATAACAGCGATGGCAATATGTGCGACATATGCGTATAATTTCTTCAATGTGTTTTCACTAGCCACACGCGTTTTTCAGCACTTCGGGACTGCCTGAGCACACACCCGAACATTGATTGTTACTTCAATGAAGTACAGCACATTGCATTGTTGTTGCTGAGCAGAAACTGTGACATGGGAGGTATTTTGTCCTGTGCACGCTGCACAGGCCCGTGTGCTGCTCCAAAGTCTTATGACTGCATTGTTGACATGGGGCAAGGCGCTGCCTGTCCATTTGTTGGCCGGCTTCAGTTGCCACCTGCAATATTACCACTTTGCTGCAATTGCGTACTTGAGCTTCTGCTTGCCACCGAACGACTCTGGGCACTGTTGTGTCGCAAGCCTTGGTTGTGCGCTGTTATATTCGCGCAGGTAGTTCTTCTGTGCATTTCAAATCACAATCGCGCCAACGCACAAGCGTCCCCCAGGGCCTGTGTCCCAGTACCCCTCCGAACCAGCGCCGGGCGCTCTGTGCCATTGGCATTCGCGACGCAAAGAAGTGCAGTAGGTCGACGATATTCACCGAATTACACGCCATCCACTCATGCCCTCCAGTCTCTCACAGACCTTGTGGATTTTTTAGTTTCTTTTTTGGGGTGAGACAAACGAGGCCCTGGGCTTGAGCCTGAACATTTTCTGTTTTTACACACGCTTTAAGGGTGGAACAGTGGACAGAGATACGCACATTTCCACTGAAACACCAAATCTAGGAAATCACACTCTTCCCACAGCGCTGTCAGAGCAGGGTCAGAGTTCACACACTCAGCTGGTTCCATCAGCATACTAAACGCACATTCACATGTTGTTTCACTTGAAGGTTTGTCAATAGCACACGTCAATGGTGATTGCCTCGCACCATACGTCGGCCCAGGCAGCAAAACAGCTCATCACAAACAGCAGCTCCAAAGGAGGGGCATCTGCTCCCCAACCTGCTTCCTTCTCTCCGAGTCACCAAGTGCCGCCTGCACAGTGCCAGGGCTCTGCCGTGTCCCTCGACACCTGCCATCCACGGAATTCCGGCAAGTGTCGGTCAGTACCCTAATTTGTCGTTTAGGCTGGTGCGCCCGTCGCCCGTCTGACCCTTCGGCGGCTGCCAGTCGATGGGACCTTCCTCTTCTTGTGGGTCCGAAGAAGGAGGGCGGGTGGGAGGCCCTTTTGGCCCGCGCACCAGCGGTTTGGTCTTCAAGATGTGCGGAGCTTTGTCTAGCTTCACAGGTTTTGCCTGCAAAAGCATCCCAAGTCACTTCATGCCCTTGCCCACGCGCCCCTGCCCCTTGAGCAGTTGGATACAAGGTTGGCGCTGTTCATGATCGACTTCAGGCGAACAACGATGTAGTCAGGTTGCCCTGAGATACTGAATGTACACCACATTACGCCTAGAGAGAATATGGAAACAACTGTGGAGGAACAGATGCTTTCCATAGGTAAATTAGAAATTCAGGCAATCACACAATTGCACGCAATGCTCAGTTGTGGCTTGCCACAGTGTCGGGTTTTGCACAAAACCCTTGTACTGAGCCACAGCTTCTTCCACCCTGTGCACATTCTCAACCTCTCTCCATTGAACGTAGTACTATGTTGGAGTGTATCAGCACAGCAGAACTAATCCCTGCTGCCAGTTTGCTTTTGGCTCATGGAAACATGCTCACATTGTGAGTTCTTTACTGTAGGAAACAGCACAGTCACCTTCACCTATGCTGCGGACTTTCAACACAGTTTTCCAAATTAAAGTAGTAGTTTATGCAACAGGTTTCATTCCCGCCTCATCAGTCTTGCCATGTTTCATTCCTCCTAGGTGTGCCACGATAATCCACCTCACAGGCTTTCATCATCAAGATCAACAATGGCTTCAACAATGACTTGAATGGCTTGCACAAGCATAAAGTCGACAAATACTCCAGGATTCAGACCTGAACTCCAGCCATGGACAGGCATCTCCAGGAGAGAATCCCACCTGAAGAACAGGCACAGATGGTTCTCTGACTGTGAGTACTCCTGTGCCATTATCATGACTTTGTAGGGGTACCTCAACCCCTCCAGTCTCGCCACCAGACACCATGAGCGCTCCAGCTGGCTGTGTGACCTGATGTGTAGGCACTGGAGCATCAGATACTTCTGACTGGGCCGAAGGTACGGAAGATTCTGTAGGTGCTGCAGATGCCACAGCAGCAGCTTGAACAGTCTGCAGGAATGACACGAACAATAGTTGGTGTGTGAATCAAACGACAAGCGTAATTGCTGCAAAGGTTGCAGCAGCTCTCCACTGCAGCTTCTGCGGTCGTGGATGGCTCAGGGACATCATCAGAATGGGGCTACACTGACAAATGCACTTCATGCAGTATGTGACAGGAACCACACTGTGCGTGGACATCAAAAGCACATAAGATAACACAGCAGATAGCTGGTACCAGCCGTGCTGCGCAGGTAAGCCAGCCATTAGATCCTCCGTTTCCTGTTGGAATTGACTGGGAATCCATTCCAACACATCTACTGTGTTGGATCTTGTACTGCACAAGGGGGGCATCCCATATTCACTTTAACATCAAATGATGCTCAGTTAACAGGGCCTCAATCATGTATCCTGTGCAATCCAACACTTCGGCGGCGAACACCTTTTCTGCTTGGGGATCGCCCTCCACTGCAACACTGTGTCTGCACTGCCCTGCTTCCACCTGCATTGCTCCTTTCACAGCTGCCGCTTTCGGCTGTCTTCCTGTGTAGAATCCATCAGGGTCGGCTATGCGCATGAGCCCCTTGACCCTGTCGAGCTCAGACTCTATTTCTTCAAGCTGCTTCTGCAGTGATGTGACCTACAGCGATTGAGGCATGTTGTTGCTGTTAATCAGATGACGTGGAGTACCAACAATAGAGAGAGCGTTGCATCTCAGCCCCATGCTAGCAGCTGCTTAAATAGGCGTGAAACTTCGATATCAAGCCCTTTATAGGCTCAGTCTTGTCACAGACGTGTGCCTGTGTGTTTGCGTGCAGTCTCAGGCTAACAACTGCACAACGGTAAATAACAAACACAAGACAATTTTCTCCACAAGGAAATGCGCAGCAGCATGGGGATATGCCGAAACCCTGAAATTGCACAGCAATGCGTTATAACCCTTCTACAAATGCATAAGAAGACTGCACTATCCAGAGAGCAGGACAAAATGGAAACCAGCGTGCCAAGACAAGCATTATGTCGACACATAAAAATTTGGCGCATTGGACTTCAAACAACAAGAGCAGGTCCTGGGCCTGCAAGTGTGTAGTGGGGGGGCCAAAATTTCCGAGATTTTCTGGGTTTCTTTCCTGCTGTTTTATGGGCCCCATATTTCCTGCAGAATCTGGGCCAACACCCAACAACAGACTGTTCATCACAATCGAAACGAACAAGCCCAGCTTTTGCGCACCCTCTTCCCAGCTGAAACACGAGGTGCAAAGCCACTGAGCACACAACTACAGGCAAGGGCATAATGCATCGCCCTCTGCTGCGCACCTTATCTGCCTCGACTTGCGTCTCCACCCGTGACATAAATGCATCCAATGAGTCCAAGCCAGCTGTGTCTGCTGGCTTCTGGTCTGGGACTCCCTCTTTGTGCTCGCACTTCGCCTTCTCAACCTGGATCCCTTTTAGAACCTCCTCCCGTCGGCCCAAAAGCCCCAATCTGACCACCAAAGGCGATGCATGAGCAGCCATTGACATGACAAGCACTGAAGTTGTCTTGGTCAGTAATCTTTGAGGTGAAAGATATATTGCACCCACAGGCCCAGCAAACGGCCAGATACACATTGCTGGCCTTTTGTCAGCTCCTGACAACTGTGAAGTGGAATTGCGCCACCACTCTCACATGAAATGCATATGGATTGCTTTGACTGTTTCTGATGATTCAATAGTAGACATTGCGGATAAGACTGCACATGTGTGAGGACTAGTTGGGAATGCATGTCTGGTGAGCAGTTCCGATGGGTAACAACAATGGGCAGCACTGAGAGCTCTTTTGGAAGCCATTTGCAAGGTGCTCCAGTGATCAATAAAGACTGCAATTGGTCTTCTTTGGGCAGAACAGGCGGACACATATGGACACAGGAAACAGCCAAGTTGGGAGAGATCGACACCAGGACGTTGAATGAGAGCACATCATCGTTTTCTTTCAAAGTGTAGCAAGAGCAGGTGCACAAAACAATTTCATTTCTATTCGATTGGTGGTAACAATATTTCTGGGACATCGCAGCCTGCTCCATCAGACCACTGTGACTATGAAACAGGCTACAGGTCGCCTGCTTTCTGCCTTGCTATTTCACACTTTCCATTCTTCCTAGTCAAAACACTCACTGTTCAGTGTGCAGCTGCTCCACAGTTATGGTGCTTGGCTTGCTGTCCTTTTTGTTTAGTGTGCCCCGCTTTGCATGCTTCCGAGTCAGGTCGTAAAAGAATTCGTCAGAGTCATCACTCTCATCATCGCTCTCATGTGCACGCTTGCGCTTGCCACTCTTGTGCCCTGCCTGCAGAATGGATTTCCTCTCTTACTACACAAGTGGGGCTGCTGCACGAACAAAGACAACCACCACAGAACAGAAAACTGCAAACACCCACAAATGTGCATCACTAGTGTACAGTTATGTACAACAGTTATGTACTTAGGTACAAGTGTACATCACTACTTATCTATTGCTATTATCTGTTGTTACACCTGGCAAAGAACTGAGGAAACACTGCACATTCTGCATCGAGGGCATGCAAAGCAGCTATATTTCATATCAGGTCCCTTTTTTAATGAAAAGCAGCCTCCCTTGGCATTGTGCACACACTGTCCTTTCAATATACCACATGCCACTGAACATGAAACCAACGCCAAATGTCTGTTCTCAATTCGCGCGACAGATTCTGGTTGAGGGAGTGATCCAAGAAACTGATGCCGATCAGCAAACAATGCGGTTTTGCAGGAGATCCTTGCCACAACAGCAAGCCAGAAGCCCAAGCAACAACTGGCACAACTTTCACACACACTGCAACCTCTATGCACATTTCGCAATGGCACATGGGATACCATGGTGCGCAATGCAAGCAGACCAGATTCCAGCTATCTGGCTTTGCTCAAGCAAGCAGTTTCATACCAACTTATGCAGTGCAGACAACACATTTCATTGTCTTGTGGTTGCTGGGACAGTGGCTATGTGGTAAAGGTTTGTGCATTATTGCACCAAGCATGCACTGAAAGCACGTGCAAGTCAGGAAGCGCTGAAAGCCATGCTGGGCACAAGTCAAACAACAGAACAACCCAAGCACACTTGTCCAACGACCCATCAGGCCAGCTCCATCAGCATGAGGGCAGTAGTTCCCTCGCCAAAATGGCAATGGGACGCCCTGGGAAGTGTGCATGCGTTGTGTTTGCAGTAGCATGGCAATCATGATCAAGGCATAGCACGCGTCCAATGTATGAGACACCAAAGCACACCGTGTATTGATCTACTCCCACCTTTGCCGTTTTGTCTCTGAGCGCATCCTGCACTGAGTCCTGCAGGGTTTCTTCCAGGCCCTCTATCTCCTCCTCCAGTGTCTCTATGAGCCTCTCATTACGATGCAGAGTGGAGACTTGGCCTGGAGTGAGGTCACCAGAGGCCGACTTGCTGGAGATGCGCTGGCATTCCTTCTTCATGTTGTCGATCTTCCACTGTCGGCTCCTGGTCGCAACAATTCAGCAGCACAGGCTGTCAAGTCAACAAGGGACAGAAGGGCACAGTTGCAAGCTTGGTGGCTGCTTCAAACCCTGGTGAGAAGTTTCCCATACCATGGCTGTCTGGTGCCCAAGAGCCCTTCCAGTGTCCAGCTGGTGCTGTGGTCTCCTGCCTGAATCAGGGTTTCCTTGGTAGCTAATGTGCCCTTTAGCCAAGCCAACAGTCAAGGTGACTGCAGTTTCTGCATAAGTATTGCAACGTCACCATAAGGTGCCCAACAGGTGGAAGAACAGAGATTCGTCAAATTTCGATGAATGCAATAAATGGGGAGTTGTGCAGTGGCCCGCAAGCCCCATTGCTAAGCTCAATTACAGAGATATGTCTGCAGAGTGGCGTGCGCCAGCACGAGCCTGGATGCATGCTCATTACTAGTGAATTTTGCTAGCATCTGTGGCAGCCTGCTTGATGATTTATGGCACTTGAGTACTCTGAGAAGTTATTGGAAGAAATAGCCCCTCACTGATTTGTTCAAAGGGCACAAGGTCAGCAACTCGTCCACACATGACAGCCATTACAAAGTGGACTTGTTGTCTGTCATGCAACTGCAGGTCCCAGAAGGCAGTACAGGCTAATACGCCAGGGTCGGCAGTATCCAAACTATCCATTTGCAAAACACTGTCCACATGCTGCAATGATCGCACTGATCATATTGGTCTACTCAGGAGGCACACTTGATATGATCGATGTGTCACGATACATTGTGGATGGGATAAGGGAGGCATATGCCATCATACTGCTCTAAAATACTCATCATCACACGTGACATTCAACAAGATCTGCAAATTTCACATTGTGTACATGTGCCATTTGTGGGATACTTCATTTTCTGTCCAAGTCTACAAAGCTGTACTTTCCAGGGCGACAACATGCACATAGTGTGTCAACAAAATGCTCCAACATGCCCTGTTCATAGTTTCCATCTGGCAACCATGTGAGCCAACAACAGACCTTTTATCACCTTCACTGTCATAAGACAATCACTGACAGTTCAGGACTTAGTACCAGTAACACATAAGTAGATACACATATTAGATACACATGCAGTGTTTACAAGTGTATCGCACAAACTAGTATTCAGTTTCGTATTAGTATTCAATGCAAGTGCCTACACACAAGGGAAAGGTGCCCACTGCTATGTTCCAAGCAATACCTTATTTTCTCTGCAACCTTCTGCTGTTTCTCTGTCAAGCCGTGTCGGTCTCTGTATGTCTTCCAGTCCATGGTCTCCTCCTGTTGGGCGTCCTGGGGGGCATCCTCCTTGAAGCCCCACATTGCCGTGCCTGAGATCACCTCGTTCATTTGAGAGCACGCTTTCTGAGCACATTACCATGCACAACAATGTAAATACTTTGCGCATAGAGCAGTGTTAATTGCTAATGACAAGGACAACAACAAGATGGCCATGACATGTGAACATGAACAAACATGTGGTGCCAAGGTGCTGGGTCAGTGTACATGACGTTCTACCTCTGTCTCAAAAGTATTGTCCAAATTCGTTTTCAAGAAAACGAAGGTTCAAACGTGCGAGTCAGAAAAATTGACCGGAGTAGCTATGACATGTCTTTCTGACAGCTATCCACAGCGACCTCGAACGTCGCAAACAACCCAGTGGTTGTTGAGTTATGCCCAGACGCGCCAAGGCGGGGCTTTGAAAGTTGCAGGCAGTTTGTCACTGCCCAGGCAAGCTCGTTTCGCCTGTCAAGAAGAGCGGAATCGGCTGAGCTGCCATTGGGGGAGCGCTATGCATTGGTCCTCAGGTGCACGCTTGCAATGGGCGCCTCTAGCGATCGCATTCCAACCCGAGTGTTAATGAAACAGCCATGAACAAACAAGGTCGTTTTCAAATCTTTGCTCTTCTTTCAGTTCTAAATGTTAATACACAATCAGGAGGTCAAGTGCCAAACCTCTTCCTAACATAAGTGATGAAGGCGGCCTTGCACCACCAAACAAGAAAGTGCAAGATGATATAACCCCTTGATGCTGCCTGTATATCAATGAAGGCTCAGTCTCAAAGATGATATGTTGGGCAATTTGGGGCCTGGCAGTATGGAAATCTTAGTAAATCGCAATGGCTATCAATCTCTACTCTTGTATTGCTTTTGCTCCACAGGTCTTTTTCGTTATCCAAATCGTGGAAACAAAGACCAAAACGTGCGAGTCAAAAGATTTGACTTCAACAACTTCCACGCGCCATATCGATAGCTATCCGTAGAGCCCTTCAATGTGGAAAATGGCGCTGTCATTCTTGAGATATGTTAAGAGGAGCACAGATATCACTTTTCCTTGTGTCGGGACCTACAGCAGGGCACGGCCACCTCGTATTGCCCTTTGACAAAGGTGGCTCATGCTAAGCTAACCCTAGGAGAGATGTGTGACTTGGTGGTTGGGCATTCACAAAAGATGCAGATAGATTGCAAACAGAATCTGCAAGGCAAAGGATTTTTTTTTTCCCGCAGAGTTTTTGCGAGTGTTGAGACCAAAGCCCAAGAGACACCTTGTTCTCTGCAAGAGCATCTACCAAGTAGATGCGCTAAGGTCAGGAAAACTGTGCATGGTGATGGTAACCAACAAGATGGTGTAAATTGTTACCAACATGGCCAATAATTGAAATTAAGAATTTTAAAAACACGATTCAGCACAGTAGAAGAGATGGTCCACAATGAGTATGAAAGCGAACATGTCAAAACTCTTGAAAGAGTGTAGTAATGACCATTTGTTGTCTACAACACGGTTTTTGAAGAATTTGGGGGAAATAGGTTGGAACACAACAGGATAAGATGAGCACAAAAATGCAGGGAAATGAGGCCCTGAAACAAGCGAACATATATGGTTGTGACTAATGTAACCAAGATCCACATCAACCCCAAATCGACCAAGGAATCCGAATCTGGTGACAAATTGGCTAATTGAGTTGATCCTGCAAAGGTACAGCAAGATTGGATAACGGACACGACTTTTGGAATGGGGTAGTATGTTCATATGCTGTACAGATCTGCCTTGGTCCATCTAATGACATGGGATTTCTGGTCAGAAATGGAGGCATCCTGTGCCAAAGATACATTCAGAGTATAAACAACTCCTGCCATCTATTTGACTCGTACATCATCTTTCCTTTCACAAAAATGGTGGTAACCAACGGAGCAAATCAGTAAAGATAAGACAAGACAAGTCAGTTCTGAATAAAAAAGCAAATCGACATGAGCATGTAGTGCTGATGTGTTCCTGACATCCCATAGCAACTGCCACCCACCTCCTCATCCCTTTCCTGTTGCTTCCGCGCAGCTGCAAGCTTGGCAGCTAGCAGCTTCTGAGAGCGATTCAGTCCCTCCTTAGGCATCAGCTCCTGAGGCCCTTGCAACACGTACAGTCGGGAGCTCTGGCCAAATCGAAATGTGTCTCCCACCCTTCCATTGCGATCACAAGAGAATTGGTTCAAAAGGACATGGGCAGATTAATGGTTCCAACACAAATGCAGAAACAGGAATTGCAATCCAAAAATTCAGATCCACATGTTCAAAGAACTTCCCAAAGTGAGGAAAAAAGCTCGTACCGGCATGAAGGCTAGACAGTGTAACAAAAGAGGCAACTTTCATCTTTCAACATTCTACATACTTTGGGGCATCAACACTGCCTTTTCTGAAGAGGCAATCAAACATCCCGATGATGTGAAACTAGATGGATGCACCTGCAAACTTCTGCTCTCTCAAGGAAGTATGCCCTGAAACAGGCAACTCCCTCCTCTGCAGGAAAGCAAGCGAACCTCTTTCCCACAAAGTGGAAGATAGTACTGGAGCATCCCAGCATGGCAGAAGCGACAAGGGGATACACAAAATCGAGGGCACACCTTAAAGGCACATAGACAGAGGGCTTGATCAGCTGCTTGTTGAGATATGTGCCATGGGTGCTGCCACAGTCATGCAAGAAGGCCTCTCCGGAGTGGCTGTTGTGCTGAAGAACACAGTGAAATCGTGATGCCGAGGGGTGTTCCAACACGAAGTCTGCCAAAGCACAGAAGTCATGCAAGACAAGGGCATACACCGGTATTCCTTGCATTCTGTGTGGAGCAAGCTGATGTGAAGTCACGTGTAGCAAATTCCACCTACCAGTGCATCAGGCAGAATAAACTGCATGGGATTGTTGTGGCCTACAGTATATTAGACCTCGAGATTCAGCGAGAGGAGGAACACACATCTTGCTGAGATGACAGGCTTGCCAGGGCACTTGAAAGTGGCAGATCTCAAAAGCCGGCACTCACTTTCCAATAAATTCAAACTCTGAAAATCTATCTGATAAGCTCAGAGTGAGTGCAAAAAAGAGTTTAGAAATGGATGCACTAATGCAACGGGTATCTGCAGGACACGATGCGTAGACTGAACTGTGAACGCGAGCACAGAGACACCATGGTACTCTTGATGATTGGAAGTCCGTGAATCACATCGCCACGCACCGTTTCTGCTGTGCTGGGAGACCTTTGCGTCTTAAGTGCAAGATGGAAAGCAAGCCTTTACACTGCACCACCAGAAAGGCTGGAGATGCCCTTTTCGTAACAAAAAAGTGTTTCATACAACAGGCACCCCTTGGCAAGAACTGCTGTGAGGTTCTCTTCCACTTTTGTGAGGATGATTCACAACCCTCCCAGTGCACCATGAACAGTCGGCAAAGCCGAGGGGTACAAATGGCAAGGCAGCTGCATATTGCAAGTTGTGGAGAACAGGTGCTGGGCCCACCTGCGCTGGGGCTTCTCCCAAACACATAGTGCCCCTTCTGTGAGACAGAGTGCCGGGACAACATGGTGCCATTCTTCAAAACCTCTAGGGCGTAAGGGATCCTTAGACACACAGGGCACAAGACTTCAGCCCATCTTGTCAGCACAGCCTGTGGCAGCAGTATCGCTGATGACCTGGGGCTTGGGGGGCCCCCTTTTCCACTCACATAATGAAGCAGAGTGGTGCTGTCTCCTTGTCTAAGTTCAGAGACAACTGGCAAGAGCAGTATGTTGGTTTTCATACTATTTGTGATGCTGCATTCATTGCCTGTCAGGGCCAGAACAGTGCACCCGCACTTGGAAAGCTATGATGTTCTCTTCTCTGAAAGGAGTAGTTAGCCAACATTTTATCCCAAACTTACAACTCGAACCACAGTGCTAGTCGATGCACTGTAAGTTTCAACGACAGATTTCAGGAGATAAATGATACAGAGTCTAGGTAGGTGCTCGATCCATGGGGAACACATCTACGGAGCCAATTAATAGTGTCTGGCTGCACAACCAAAAAATGGGCTGATCAGCAAGTCTCTGTTGCGATGGTTGGTTGCACTAACAACATTTCAATGAGGTAAGTGAGCTGACAGGCCTTTCCCAGGAGCATTAGGCACACATTATGCATGGCCAGGGTAGGCATCCAAGCCCCTCCGATGGGCATGCACCACGCCGCTGCAGGGCGAATTACAATCGACAGTCCTCCTTTGATCAGGGGATCAGTTTGAATGCTGCAACATATTTGGAGACACTGGGACATATTCTGGCGCGGAATAGATGCACAGGCGTTCCCAATCCTCACATTCCACGAAATCCGACCAGCGACAAGACCGACACTGCCATCCACCAGGGACAGCCACCACTCATCGCTTTCCTTGGTGCAGGGGCCTTGTTTTGTCTTGTGCTCTTGACAAATGCAAGTCCCGGAATTCACACACACAATTCGGCCATTGGCATCCATGTCTAAAAAGAACACCAAATGGACACGTAACGCATAGAATGGACGCATGCCTCTGCGCACCCCTCTGGAACATTTGCTTGGGAAAGGTGCCCTTTGTATGACCTGCTTCTTTTTCTATTTGTAACAATCTTACCCCTCTGGAGCTCCGCCCCATTGCGGTGGCGCGTAGGGCGCCGGCGCGCGGCCCGCCGCGGCCTGCGCCGTTTCGCCCGCCTGCTGCCCACAGGGACCTGCCCAGGCTGCCCTCGCCTCGCTGTCCGCCCGCTCATTCGCCCCGTTGCCGCTCGCCTTCTTCGACATCAGCCTCGGAGGGGGCGGCGGCATGCTCTCCGAGTCCGCCTGCAATGCGCGGAACGAGGTTGATTGGCGCAGGTGGGTGGCAAGCGGGGGGCCGGGGGAGGGATCAGCGATTTGTGGGGAAGAGAGGGGGTTGGTGGGTTTAGGATTTGTTATCGAAAGAGAAGGCAACAGGTCATACAAAAAGCAGTCCCTCCTAAGCAAGTGTATGCGAGACTCCTTTCCTGCTGTGCAAAGATGATGTAGAGCCTCCAATGCACAAAGTTGAGCAGGGGAGGAGGGGGCGCGGTGGGGTGGGTGGGGGTTGAGATTCGGGTTGGGGGCGCACTTTGGGACGCGCTTTGGCCGCCGCGGCGTCTTGTTCGGCGGGGGGGGGCGCTTCGGCGGCGTCGGCGTCCATGGCGCCCGGCGGGGAGGCCACGGGGCCGAGCACGGCGGAAACTCTGGTTGAGGTGTGGTTGGTGGTTGATGACACGAGTTCTGAACAAATGTATCTGTTGTTTGTCCTGCTTTTCCATAGACTCGCTTGGGCTGGCACTCGCAGTGATCAGCACCTGGTTTTTGCGAGGAGTTGCCCCATCGGTGTAGTTTTGCGCATTCCGACGTCAACTATCGATAAAGATTGTGGAAAATGGCAAAGCACTGTCCTTGCACCTGCATGACGTTGCCGGGATGCTACATATAACATATCCAACAAAAGGATACATCCAGCGGGCCCCGCCGAGCGGGGCCTCCAAGTCAGCGCATTTCCGAACCAAACCCCAGTTGGACACCCCTGAGTTCTATCTCCTTCCCACATGGCCAAACGCTCAAATCGCTGCGCAAGCTAGTCAGCCTGCATTGCCTGTGTACAGCTCCCAGCTGGGGCTCACCAACTGGGTGAATCCCTGGTGTACTGAACGCCAAAAGGGCACTGATGCAATTTTGTGGCTGCATTGCCGTTGACGCTTCCCTTGAAATGCGTGGCATTGTTGCGTCAATGCTGACACACCGGGCTTGCTGCAGCGCTCTTCATCGTTGCATCGGTGACATAACACACACAATGTTGCATCAATTTAAGTGCCCACAATGTTGCATCAACTGCAGATGACCGACACACGTGTGTCTTGTGTGTGCGGATTCATTTTGACGGACTGTGACTGGTGTAAATGTCTGGCGTGCCCCGTACAACGACTGTGTCGCTGGTAGACTGCAGTTATGGCTTGTCGAAAGACAGAGCCCAACTCAGGGCTCCGCCCTTGGCAGCGCATCCTGTGGAATCCAGGTGCTAGAGCCTACGTGGCAACTCGTGTGCTTAGCCGTGGGACCAGCAATCTTTGCTGCCGCTGTAGCCAACGCCAGACTGTAGCACCCCTCGACAATCCCATGCTACACAGGAAGTTAGGGAGGCGCTTGCGGCAGGCAGCTTGAGTGAAACTTGTTCAAATTTTCCTGTCTGAAGAGTGTCTCCCTGGGTGAGTTCAACGACAATCGTTCAGGGCTGCGCCACACAGCCTCGCGAACAAACTGTTTGAACGAAAAGACAAAGAATTTCGACGATCGTGTGTCGGCCCCCGGATGCACCACCACCCCCTTCCCATTTCCAACCATCCCGAATACATGGAAAAAGTTAAACGGCCAGCAACGCATACCCCTTGCGGCATCCCAACCACCTCATAATGCAACTCTCCACTTTCCAGCCACCCCAGACGCTGCACACACTGCGGCGGCTGCTCTCCGTCGGACACCAAAACGGCACCTGCGCCCACGCTGCCATCGCTCGAGCGGCATCGATGCCCCCACCCCCACTAGCGACCCCAGAAAGCCGCACAAGCCGCCAACCCAGATCCAAACCGGATTCCAAAACCACAGCAGTGCGCAAAACGGGGCGCCATCCCATCCTGCAGAGTGCGCACTCAGTAACGGTACATCGCCGGCTTGAAGGGGCCCTCTGGCGAGACGTTGATGTACTTGGCCTGCTCGGCGGAGAGCTTCGTGAGCTTGGCGCCCAGCTTCGCCAGGTGTAGGGAAGCCACCTTCTCGTCCAGGTGCTTGGGCAGCACATACACCTTCCGCTCGTACCGCCCGGAGTCCTTCTCCTTCCACAGCTCCAGCACTGCGATCACCTGCTCGGGCACGAGCGCAGCGACCGTAAACACAGGTGCAATTTGAGCAGTGCTGTCTGAAATTAGTTATGAAGGAAATAAACAACAACTATTTGAACACAACAGCAACTGATTCAGTATGCTGACACAGCAATGCTGTTGAGTTTGTTGTGCTGTTTTTTTCCCCCTCTGAATGCGCTCGGGAAAGAAGCCATCATTCAACACCTACACTACTTCTGATGCAGGTGTATTGCAGCCACAGTCGGCTTGAAGATGCTAAGGGTAGTCTGGGTGTGCCGCCATGAAAAGAGCCAATTGGTTCGAGTACAGTGGAGCCTGGCCCAAGTATGGCAAAGGCAATGACAACTGTGGAAACAAGAGCAAAAGGACGAACAAAAGACTGCTTCGTTGCTGCCACTGCTGGCTTGCCCTCCTCTGATGCACTCGACATGCAGTCAAAAGCAACTGAAGCGACGGCCATTCCACAGATTCCACATGAAACACCACATAGTCAAGTGGTATGGCGCGCATTTGGCCCATTAACATGCAGGCATGTCTGGGCCCTCAACATTCTGCCAGCCATAAGGTGAGCAGCAGAGTCAACAGTACCATGTGCACAACACTCCACATGGGTTGGCTGCAGTTCCCGCAGTTCTCCACTCACAAACTACTCTGAGACACCATACGGTTATGACAGCAAAGCTAACAAAAGCAGAGACAGCCTTATATGAAGGATGCACTGGTGTTGGGTACATGTGGGGAAGAAACAGAAGGCACAAACAGTTCTTGCCACAATCTGGCTTGTGAAGGGGCGGAATGCGAACAAACGCTCACAAACAGTCGTCATGAGACAAAAAGATGGAAAACCAAAACATCCGCAAGAAACAGTGGTGGCAACAGCTTCGTTACCTGGTTGGTGAAAGAGCAGGACATGACGAAGCTGGGGTGTCCCGTGGCGCACCCCAGGTTGAGCAGGCGGCCCTCTGCCAGCACGATTACGCCATGGCCATCGGGGAAGATGAACCGGTCACATTGCGGTTTAATGTTCTGCCGGACAATACCTGGCCAGGACAACACGCCGGCCATGTCGATCTCGTTGTCGAAGTGGCCGATGTTGCCAACGATGGCGTTGTTCTTCATCTTGGCCATGTGGTGAGCCATGATGATGTCCTTGTTCCCAGTGGCCGTCACGAAGATGTCGGCGGTCTCCAGAGCGTCCTCGAGGGGAATCACCTGGGGGACAGAACGTCAAACATTGGGATGAAAAGAAATAATTCAACAGCAAAAAACCCTAGCACATAAAGAAGAAACCATGGATGCAGCAACACACAACAATATATGAGTTGAGTACAGCAGCATGTGCAAGAAAGTCGTCTCTTGACACAAGCCTGAAAACGCTCAAGGGACCACACTGGATGTAAAGATCTAGGTGCACTACTATAGAATTTTCATTAAGGACATTCAGAATGAATAGCAAAGGATGGCATAGAGCCGAACGCATGAAATGTGGTCAAGGGGGGGCTGTTCTATTCTGTGTCAATGCTGCTGCAAATTACTCTTCTGAGCATTGTGCCTGAATCTCTCTGGATGTGAGCGGCATCAACCAATAAGTACCCTACCTTGAAACCCTCCATGCAGGCCTGCAGAGCACAGATCGGGTCCACTTCCGCAATCAGCACCTTGGCACCAGCAGCCTTCATGGATGCAGCGCACCCCTTGCCCACGTCACCGTACCCTGCAATGACAACAGAACTTCTCAGAGGAGATGATGGCATATCTTGAACTGGCAACAGCTGCACTTGCGCATAAACACTGTTGCATATACACTTCTTCATATGCAACCAGAGTTGAAAGGCAGCGATGACAAATCAGGCACCTAATGGGACCCAACCTTGGCGATCCCACCTTTGGCAATGACTGGACTCGTCGCATCACCTTGTCGATCGGAAACTGCTGAGGCACTTTTCTGCAACTAGAACCTTGCTAAGAAGCCCCCAAGCAGACAAGGGAAACTATCAGCACCGAATGGCTGCATGGGAAAGGAAGCAGCAGTGGGTGTGGCTGAATAAACGTGTGGACATCCACACTTTACCATGGGTAAGGCCTCGATGTTCTGCTTTCACTCAGAAAGGGAAACAAAAACAAAACTCACCAAAATAAAACAAGAAGGAAGGCGCTCAAAGGAACTCAACCTACACAATACCTTTAATGGACAACTACCCCACCTGCAACGAACACAGTCTTCCCAGCGATCATGACATCGGTGGCCCGCATCAGGCCATCGGGCAGCGAGTGCCTGCAGCCGTAGATGTTGTCAAACTTGGACTTGGTAACAGAGTCGTTGACATTGATGGCTGGGAACAGCAGCTCGCCGCTGTTCTGCATGTCATACAGCCGCTTGACACCCGTGGTGGTCTCCTCAGACACCCCCACTAGCTTGGCTGCCATCTTGGTCCACTTCTGGGGGTCCGATTTGAGAGTCTCCTTGATGACGGAGAGGACGATCTTGAACTCAGGGTTGTCGGTGGAGTCAGGGTCGGGCACAGTGCCGTCGGCAGCGAAAGCCTTCTCGGCCTTGACGCCCTCTGGGAAAAGGACACAGAGAAGTCAGCTGAGCATCGCATGATGCAGCACTAAAGTCAAGCCTTGTGTCACGCTGTTGTACTCAACTGCGGAACTTTGCATTGCCTTCCGCAATGCTGGTGAATGTGGAGCCTGGCTGAGCTTCGCCCACACCAGCAGCCAGAACTAAGCCAAATCCTTACTAGGGCACCGTCAACCAAGACCCAAACTCCGTTTTGGCCCACTGTATGGGTCACAACTGTTGACCCATTGACCGTCAGAGATTGTTTGTTCGCTCATGGTTGACCAAGGGGCACATTATGTTCAGCCATCGAGGACATGTCAGTGTGTACATCGGAAATAAAACATATAATGTGAATGGATGGCACAATGTGCCCCCTGCTGCTCCAAGGGAAGGAGGGATGACAAAAATGAACTGTAGGTCCACTGGGATGCAGGCATCAATATCCTGCCGGAAAGGCAGCAAACATGAAAGGGACACAGAGGACCATGCTGCTGTCAATAGTTGTCCTTTACTTACATTCTGTTGACAGGCAACAGGGTGAAACGTGGGAACATGAAGCCGCACATTCACACTGCTGACAAAAGAAAGGTGCAAGGCAACTCAGCGCCAAAACACAGACAACTTGACTGCCAGGCACACAACGAATTTTATATTCCTATAGGTTCCACTGGGCATCGACCCAGATACAAGACACTTCCTGTAGGAGGAAACTAGGCCAATGCTTGGCATCCAGCTCGCATCCGCAGAACACAAGATGATGATGAAGGACCTGGATTCCAGGTACATACATTGCGCGGGAGCAATGCTGCAGCAGGTGGTCCACCACTGGCTCTGTGACCCAACACCCACGTTCGAAAGCAAGACCAAGCAAAAAACATGGTTCAACCCGCAAGACACAAACAGCAGCTGGGATCCTGGCAGATCCCAACCGTGGTTGGACTGCTGGCGCGACAGCCAAAGTGATGCAGTCAGGGCAGATGTCCACCCGACCTTCACGCGCTTCTCCGTATCGCGAGTCGCCCTCCCGAATACCCAGTCAGGGCATCCATACTACCCAAAATCTCCGCTGGTCCGCAGCAGCGCCTGGCTTGCTCCGCGCCACAGGTTCTCCAATTTAGCGCAACGCTGCACCAGATCTTCGCGCCGCCCCGGCCCTAAAAGCCGCGCGAGTCCAACACGCGTCCCGAGATCGGTACCCTGACCCACCGTGAATGATAAGCGTCGCGTCGCCGCCGTCGTCCACCAGCAGGTCGGGCCCGTCGGCGCCCTCCCACGTCAGCGCCTGCTGCGTGCACCACCAGTACTCCTCCAGCGTCTCGCCCTTCCACGCGAACACGGCCGCGCTGTCCCTGGCGATCACGGCCGCCGCGTGGTCCTGTGCAGGGCAAGCATCCCGTCGGACAACGCGTCTTCGGAGGCCGAACTCCTCTGTTCGCAGAAATGATTTCGAAAGGCACAGCGGGATCCTTGAGCATTGCAGGGGCGACGGGCGCGTGTGCATTTCTCCGGAGGCCAAGCGCGTCCGATGCACATCGCGGCAGCTGGAGCGCCTCCCTTCTTCGACGGATTCGGCCTTTGAAGCACGGGAAGAAACGCGGAAAGGAACGCAGAAGAACAAACGTGGCCGTTGTGCACGTCGCAGGCGATCGCGCGTTCAATCCCGCCGACCAGATCTCCAAATGATCAGCCCTGCCCGAATGCCATGCGTGGCCACGCCATGACGCAAGCGGGTCTCCCAGGGGCTCCCTGCAAGCGCCCGCGCCGCACAGGTCCCAAATGCCCGCACCTGCGTGCTGAAGATGTTGCAGGAGCACCACCGCACTTCGGCGCCCAGCTCCACGAGGGTCTCGATGAGCACGGCCGTCTGGATGGTCATGTGCAGCGACCCGGACACCCGGGTGCCCGCGAGCGGCTTGTTGGTGCCGAACTCCGAGCGGCAGGCCATCAGGCCCGGCATCTCGGCCTCGGCCAGGGACACCTCAATGCGGCCGAAGTCCGCCTGGGCGATGTCCTTTACTTTGTACTGTGGGCAAAACGCAGGTTGGGGGAGCAATCGTCAACGGACGAAATTGCAAATGTCATGTGAAGGGGGAAAAGCTATGGGAGGGGCAAAGGGCAGCGGGCGCCGACCCTGAGCTAGGGGCCGAGACGACCTGGCAGGGGTTGACAATGGGATCAAGTGAGGCCGCGGGTGCATTGGGGCGAGAGCGCAAAGATTGGAACACGCCGGGGACGCGCGAGAAAGGCGGGCGGAGAGCACAAAGCTCGCACGTTCCTCGCGCCGGCCCGTGGCAGCCGAAGCGGCGGAGGCGGCAAAGGCGCTGGGCGCGGCCGTGGGCAACAGAATGGCATGACAGCCGGATACCCAATGCGCGCCCAGCAGCTCCATGAAATGCGCCAGATGCTCCAGGAAACGCGCGCCGGTGAAGTGGTGCCCGGGAGGCCGCCATGGCGCCGGTGGGCGCAAAAGGAGGCGGTATCAAAATCTGCGAGACGCGGTGGGCGGTGGGGAGTGGCGTCCGGCGAGGAGATCGATGCGCCATCGGGGGGCTTACGTCGCGTCCAGCGGCGCTCTTCTGGCACTGGAGCACCATCCTGGACTGGTCTTGGCGCGAGGAAGGCGGGGTGGGGGGGAGCGGGCGGGCGGGTGGGCGACGAGAGCGGCGGCGGCTGGGGGTGGGGAGGAGACGGCTGTGCGTGCGCGAAAGAAGCCGCCAGAAGTAAATAGGCGGACACGGGACGTCGACGTCACGTCAATGGAGAGTCACAGCCGCACGCACCGGCGGTGGGCGGCAGCGGCGGTCAGTCATTCGATGCCTTTGGGATGAAAGTGACCACCTCACGACGAGCGAACGTCCGCTTGGAAACAAATCCGGGCCGGTCCGTTGAACGGGTTCGGCAGCAAAAATGCGTGCTTTAGTGCATCCTAATTATATAAACGCTGCGAACACCTTGCTGAAATTTGTCACACCCTCGGTGCTGGGCGCACCCCCCACCCCAATAAAGAGCAGAAAAACGCCCCTGAAACAACTCCCACAGTGTCCGTGAAGACTTCCAATCAATTCGGCCACCTCATTGCCTTGTTCCGTGAAAAAATGATGACGATGAAGAAGGCTTCGAATCGATTCACAAATTAATGCTGTTCCAGCATTGTTTCTTAGCTGGCTGGAGAGTTTTTTTTTTTTTTTTTTTTGCGATGCGATGCGGATCCCCCTCGCCAAAAGCGCCAAAGCACAAGGGCGGGGAAGCTGGCTTGAGCCCATTCTTTCCCAGGGCGGCCGCCGGCGAAGGCAGCCGCACAGGCGCTCGTCGCCGCCCTTTCCCTCCGCCGCGGGCGGCACGCATCGGGCGCCGAGCAGATGTGCGAACCGGACGCTGGCGACGGCGAGAGGCGGGCCGAGAGGGCCGAGTACTGGAGGGACAGGATCCGGAGGCTCGACCGGTGTGTGGACGCCGCGTCGCGACTGGAGCTGCCACGCGGGGAAGACCACTACGTGAGACTGATGCGGCAGGCGCGCTCGCCCTTGGGCCCCTGAGAGAGAGTTTTACATGAAAGTTGGGATCCCCTTTGATACAAAGGTTTCGACTTTACAAGTCATGCCCCGGCCGTGGTATGTGCGTAGTGTTTGTCCCACCTTTTCTCAGGTACTGAAGGCAACCAATGTGTACATACTGTCTCTTGGGCTTGCTGGTGCGGCAGCATGTCTTGGACTGCGATTGTTTCGTGCGGGATGCAGGCGGGGAATTGGGCATTGAACGAATGAACGGAGGGGGCGGATCAGGAGTTCGACTTCAGCAGCACCTTTGCAGTTTGGGGTGCAGAGAATGCGAGGGGGAGGTGTCTTGCAAATCGCCGGCAAGCGCCAATTGTGGCACGGTCCATAGTGGGCATTCCGGCAGACGCAAAGCTGACTCTGGCGAAAGAGGTCCTTCATGGACTGTGCCACCCTGTTCACTCACACTGCCCGCAGAGTATGGATGTTTGTGGGCGCGGGTGGCGACCTGCGGAGCGCCCGGGGCACGCATTGGATAGTGAAGGCGACAGCGGCGCGGGGAAATGAGCGGCGGCGCGAGCGCTGGTTGGGGATTGATTGCGGAATTGGGCGCCACAAGGGATTGGGCGCCCGGTGTTTGCCATTAGGGGTTTGGCGGCGAGGATTGGTGGCACGTGCTGCGTGTTGCGTGTTCGCGTCGACTGGGATAGGGCACTGGGGCGTTGGTTGGAAGGGTTGCGCGGCGCGGTGACCAACGAGCGGGACGTTGGACGCGGCCGCCGCCTGTGTCAACGGCGGTGCCAGAAATGGAGCGATGGTGCAGTGAGGGCCTTGGCATTTGGAGGACGAAGAAATGGGCATCCAACGGTGGCCCCTGCCAACAATGTGGCTTGAACTCTTGTCCATCGAAGAATGGCGTTTCGGAGGGTGCCAACGATTGTTGAAAAAGTGCAGTGAAGTCCTGAAGTCATTCCTTGCAGAAGAATTTGCCGACATGTGCAATAAGTGTAGGTGGACCTCTGCATGGTTCTCCTCTAGCATCTAGAGGTCAAGAGGCGCCCAGTAGCACCGGCACAGGATTCTAAGGGCTATGCTTGCGATCGGTCGGACGATTTCTGGTGGACGAGTGCCTGTAATGGCTGCGGTGTGGGGACTAGGCTGCCAGGGGCGGTGTCATTTGTGGGCCATCGTGAAAGGTACTCGTGTTTCAGTGCAATCCGGATCCCTGTATACATGGCAAAGTGGTGCTGCGCAGGCTATCCCAGTGTTCTATTTCATGCCATGGAGTCAATACAATTTTCGCCTTTGTGGCTTCTGACAGTTCTACAGAAATTCATCTATTTACAAGGAGCGATGTGATGCCAACATGGAGACGATCAAGAACCTGCTGGCCAAGCTCGAGGTGCACCGTTTCCCAAACAAGGTACCACAGGCTCACTTTTCACCTGTGTGCAGTCTAAGTGCTGGCGATGTACAAGTTTTTAAATGCCACAAAATTCAACATTCACCTTGGTGAAAGCTGACTTGGTTTAGGTGAGTGGGGCAGTCGCTCTACAAAGGTGCTCTGACTGCTAGTCTCAAATCAAAAGGAGCAGGAAAAATGGTCAGGCCTGGGTGATGAGTGTTACCTTCATCTGCTGATTACTGCATCTTGGATGCAGGAATGAGCGCTTCTTCCATGACTCTGACAGGCGCCCCTCGTTTTTATTGTTGTTTCCCACATTTCCTTCAAGAGAAGGGGTAAGAGTGTATGGTGGGTCTGTCTCGGTTCAGGGTCAAAGAATGCCTTTGCACCTGTCAGGCGATGCCTGGAACATAGACCTCCACAGTATCATGTTGTTTTGGATGAGCCGCTAGGCCCACATCTTTTTTGTTAGCACGGACTCGCACTTTGTCACGTTGTTTTGGAATTGTGACAAAAGTCCAAAGGTTACAGTTTCCCCCAATGGCCCAAAGCTCTGTGCACCAACAAGAAGGATACTTGGCAAGCATATTGTCTGGGCTGCATGCCTTTATTAAAGCCAGGCTCCAGGTGGAAGGGCAGAGTGTTACAATGGGGCCTTCCTCTCTTCCCCTAGAGCACAATATGCGTGCAGCTTGATCACAAACACGTTGTTGGATTAAGTGTTGTATGGATTGAACAGGCTTTGTTCATGTGGTTGTAAGCTGCTTGTCATCCTAGTGTTTGTGAGGGGCACCCTTTTGCTCTTTACTGGGCAGATACTTTCAGGCCAATTCTGCAGCTGACGCACAGATTAAGTTACTTTTGCCCCATGGAACTCACAGTGCACTGACAACCTGAGGGCCGAAGCCTTGTCCACGGCTAGCCAGTCTGCTGCATGGCTGGCGTCACTGGTGGACGACCTGCTGGACCGTGGGAACAAAGCCCTTGAGGCGCACAGGACGGGCACCAAGCGTGGGCCTAAGTGCCCAGCCACTGAAGTTGGGCCGATGGGTCAGGCAGGGGGTCAGTTGGGGAACGTCAGCCTTGCCCCGCAATGGGTGGAGGGGGGCAGGGCCAACAAGAGGCAGAGGCCTGGCAGCCTTTGGGGCTCCGACAAGAAGCCTCAGAAAGGGTTCGCCATCCCTGTGGACAACAGCAACGAGCCATACAAGCCCAGGTTCGCTGCAGAATTCTGCTCTCGATGCATTTTGCTTTCAAAGTTTACTAACAATGTGGAATGTAAGATGTGCCCGTGCCTGTGCAGTTGCTTTTTATTCCAGACTGTTACCTTGAAATTTGAGAGTCAGCATGTTGCTGAATGTGTTGACATGCATGGTGTGCAACACATCGCAGCAGTTCAACACCTGCAGGTTTGCAGTTTCAGTTTACCTGTTGCCAACATCGGGGCTACAGCATGCATTAGGGCAAGTTGTGCTGTTGTGTGTGTTGCATGCCCAAGCATAGAGCAAATTCCAAGATTGTGGAAAGAGTACTTTGCAAGGATAGCCAGCAGCTGAAAACTCGAATTGGGTGCTGAAGGGATGGTTGCACGCCAATGTGCAAATGATGAGTTCTTTGGATTCCCTTTCAAGAGGGCACCGATGATCGATCATTCAAAGTCCTGATGCACACGCAACCTTTAAAATGTGTTAATGTAGAAAGAAGCACTGGGGAAGCTTGGGCCCAGCGGGGTCCAACTCTTTTTCAGCGTGTGCTGTGGCATAGTTGGCTTCTCCACATTCTGCAATGATGTATGAACTGCTGGAGCTTGCCTGGTGAAGATCTGGGACATTTCATGCCTTGAAAAGTGTCACCCATGCAGATCAACACATTGTTTTGACAATTGACAACCAGACGATTGCTATGGCACCAGACTGGACCACCTGGCTGGCCTTCTGACTGGCTACCCACCCGAGACCTTCGACAACTCGCAGCCAGACGCCCTACTGGCAAAGATCGGCATCCGTGACTGCCAGGGCCTCTACCCACACCCCTTCCAGGCAGAGCTGAATGCCCTTAAGTACATTCCAAGCCAGCTGGCCAAGGGAACCTGCAGGGAACCCGAGGCCATCGAGTCCACGCCGTTTCTGTATGTTGACTCGCAGGAGGGGCTGGAGAAGCTGGTGGAGCATCTGCATGGACAAGAGGAGGTGGCGGTGGACCTGGAGGCAAACCTGTTCAGAAGCTTCCAGGGACTGACATGTCTATTGCAGGTATCTTGAGGTGCAATTGGATGCCGATATTTTGAATGAATGTAATATTGCAATTATGATTTTGATGCAAGCGTATTTGAACGTGTACATTACAGCTCTGGTAGTTGCAAAAACATTTGACTGAAGGTATACATTTGTAGCCAAGGCAATTTGAATGAATGCAAGCATTGCAGCTATGATAGTTGCTAAAACTCTTGAATGAATGTGTTTATAACAGTGAATGGTACACTGGCTGCTGAATTCAGATTATCCACAGCATCGGTCTTGCAAGTGGTGGGCAACGATCTCATGGTATCAGACAAAAAGGGCACCAGGGCCCCAATGTCACAGTGGCATGCAGTTGTGTTAACAGATAGATCCCAGTTGGGCAACATAAAGTGAGGAGCATGGGCACCTCGCTGCCCTTGTCCAATGCTTCTGCCAGTCAGCATTTACTCTATTATGTGGGTCATCAGAAGGCCCTGAAACGTCTGGGGCAGGTATTATGTGACTTCGGTTGGAAGGTGAATTCTGTGTGGATTCCAGAATAGCAAGCTGCTATGCCTTCACCTTCTATGGCAAGCTGCTGTGCCTTCACCTGCTGTGCGATGTTTGGCTTTGGGATGGACTCAATGCAGCACTTTGAATTCAGTGCATGCTGATTCTTGCCACCTTTGAACATTGCATTTGGTGCTGAACGGCAGTCAGGTCTGAATACGTTGCACTTGTTAACAACATGTTGGTCTTAGAACATAAGGGAAACTACACTGAACCGAATTTGGCGCTGGACATCAATGACAGGAATATCAATGTAGTCAATAATTGTAAGCTAGGTTTTGGAGCCAAGAAACAAGTTGCACTGCTATGTTATCTGTATGTACGGTGAGAAGGAATTGCCTGCTAACAGAAGCACTAGAGACAATTGGCAATGAATACAGAAGTCGATTGGCAAGTTATAGATAATAAGAACATTTCACTTTTCTTACAAGTCTGTTGTTGTCCGCCAGATGTCCACCCGAACGCGCGACTTCATCGTGGACACACTGGCAGTGAAGGATGAGATCGGCCCTGCGCTGGCGCCAATGTTTGCTGACCCACAGGTTGTGAAGGTGATGCACGGCGGCGGCAATGACATCTTGTGGCTGCAGCACGACCTGGGCATCTATGTGGTGAACCTGTTTGACACACACCAGGCTTGCAAGGTGGGCGGCCACCTGCGGGGGGGCCTGGCATACCTGCTGGAACAATACTGCTCCATCAAGGCAGACAAGAGGTATGATAGGGTGGGGAAACAGTGGATCAGGTTGCTCATTATCGGGAATTTGGTTGTATTTTTCTTCTGTTGAGGTATCAAGTGTAATCTCTGTTCTGGTAGAGGAGATCCGGGCCTTCTATTCCCGGCTGGGGTGGTGCAAAAGCGATGTTTGAAACACTATCCCCCCGTTCCTCCTCCCCCAGAGAAAAGGATTTTACTGGAATTAATAAATAAACTGCAAGTCAAGTGACTTCAGGCGAGGTCAAACGACCTCCAATTTTATTTGCAAGCACAGTGGGAAGGTTGACAGATCAGAGATTGGCACAGTCCCAATTGTTTTCTATGTTGCACTGATGAGGTTGTTCCCATGCTCACAGGCTGCAGCTGGCAGATTGGCGCATACGGCCACTCAGCAAGGAGATGCTGCACTATGCGCAGTGTGACACGCATTATTTGCTGTACATCTATGACAAGTTGAGACACCAGCTTATTGATCAGGGAGAAGAAGTTCCAGAGAAGTTCCAGGTGGACCTCAGAGACGGCTCCCCCACAGTAAGTCGCAGCAGCATCTATGTGTGCCATCATTCTTGACTGAATTTCTTCCTTTTGCTATTGTTCTGTCCCACTTTTCGTTTGCCTTTCAATCAAGTGACCTGTCTTTGGTGGGGGGAGAAAGTGGTTCCAAGGTTGAGAATAGGCAGGAGTTACGCCCTGCACTATCCAGGCGCAAGGGCCTTGTTTTATCTCGTGATTCTCCTGTGTAGCAAATGGCATGCACACATTTAACAGATGTCCTGAATGCCACTTTTACATCCAGCTTGCATCATTTGGGCAGGGCGCCTTGGGCACTGTGCTGGAGAGGTCCAGGATCTTGTGTCTCCAGCGCTATGAGAAGCCCCTGCTGAACGAGTTCAGCTACCTCAGCATCCTCAAACGGGAGGCGGAGGGACTGAACGAGGTGCAGGAGATGGTGGCGGCTGCCCTGTACGCCTGGAGGGACGCCACTGCAAGGGATCTGGATGAGAGCGCAGGGTTCGTGCTGTCCAAGAAGGTTCTGGTGAAGCTGGCTGTGGCTCTGCCAGGTGCGCTGTTGCGATGCTCTGCAGCCCAGTTGTGTTCAGAAGAGAATGGGCACAACCATGGTGGCAGCATGCATGAACATGTAAAGGACAGAGCATGCACAGGCAACACGCAAACCAAGTCAATGGTTGTGCATGCTTTCTCTGAACGCAGATCACTGGGCACCATGGGCTCACTGGATGTCCACAAAGACCAAATGGTGCATTCGAAGAGAACACCAAACAGAGGCCATGTGATGAGCATGTTTTCAGAAGCAAGTGCTGCATGGATCAGTATGCTGGTAGAGTCCTGAGGAGTCCACTATTTGAATTTCATCATAATTTCATTCCTGCATTCGATTGCAGTCTCATCAATGTGGATGTATTGTTCTAAACACTGTTGTACATCAAAATCATCATTGATTTAATTGCTCCTCACAGAATACAGGATCTTGCCCTTGTTTCAATCGGGGCATCACTGGGTGCCATCTCGTTGAAAAATAGTGTACTCATGCAGCGTTGTTGCTTCCACCCATTGCCAAACATCTGCCCAAGTGCATGTGCTGACGTTTGCCAAGCAGCCCTGAACCCCACCCATCGTGTGCGCCATGTGCCAGACAATGTGAAGCAAGTGCAGAAGCACCTGAAGAAGGGCAGCCAAGGCTTTGGTGACGCCATTTTCAACGTAATCACCAATGCCAGGCAACGGTTTATGCTTGGGCGGCTCCAAGCTGCCAGTCCTGGCACTCCAGGGGCCCTCGCCTCGGTGAGCCTTGACCTGCCACCCGCAGCCCCAGCCACCACTTTGGAACCAAAGCCAGTGTGCATAAAGGCTGCATCCGGTCAGAGCGCCTTCCAGAGGATGCTCGGGGCAACGAACCTGACAGCAACGGATGGTAGTGATGTGAAAATGCACATTGCCGAGCCCTCCCTCTGTGAGTCGGCCATCCAAACAGCAGACATCGATATGAATGCCAATCTGTCGCTCATGGGAGTGGATGCGGTAGCTGATTCGCACTGTCCCTGCAGTGCTGACGTGACCACTGCATCCCAGCTTCCAAGCAATGCTGGTGGCTTAAAGGATGGCATGGAAGATGTTCAGCAGCTGGCAGGCTGTGGTCCTGCCACAGGCCTGAGGGCCCGGGAGGTGAAGCCGATCGTGCTGCAAGGGCGGCCGTGCAGCATGCAGGGAGACATTGAAGATAAGGGGTTGACTGCTGCAGAGATGATAAAGGCGTCGTTTTCGCTGCCATTCATGGTGGCAACCAACGTCGGCAATGATGGGGATGTGGAGGGGCAGGGAGAGGAGGGAGGCAGAGTGGGGAATGGGATGGATGTAGATTTGGGGGAATCCGTTGAACCCACAGAGACGGCCATTGCAGGTGAATATGCAAGCCTGTTGCCACGTTCTTGGGCACCCCCAGTGCCATACTTTGTAACCACATGCAGCGTACAGTGCAAACTGCCAACAGCCAGCAGCAAATGGTGCAGGAACAGTTGTCTTTTCTGGTTGGGTGACAGAAGTTCCACATCTCCTCTCTCAGTACAGGGGTTGGCATATGGACTCTAAAATCTGATGCACTATTTTGGACGAAAAGAATGGCAAATGTGTCAACACAGGCAATACACAGTAGAATGTAGCCAACAGCAAGAGCAGACATTGCTGTATCTCACATGTTGATAGTGTTTTAGTGTATGGTTGTACTGCACCGGTGTCCTGACGCGGGGTGCTTTGCACCTGTGGGCATGGGGCGCATTTTCACATTTACGTGTGAAATGGCACCTGCTACAGCTGTGGCCATGACCGCCCTAACTTCCCTGTAGGTGGTGGTTGCAGAAATCCGGGGTGTGGTTGATGGGATGGCGACAGCAGCCACAAGCAAATGTCTGTCAGTCAATGGGGACAGCGAAGGTCAAGATGGGAGTCAATATGATGGCGACGGTGCTGATGAGGGGCAGGGAACGTCGGCAGGCGATGGCCTGCCCAAATCGCTGCGGGAGGTGAGCTGCGGATCATTCCAGCATCCTCAACAGTGGCCACTTATTTTACCTCAGAAATAGTGTCGTAGATTTTTGTTCGATGGAAACGTGAAATAGGCCGGCAACAGAAAGGAAAGAACAAAAGAAAAAAGGATGTATCGACTGCTGCAAGTCAACTGCAATGTATCAACAACAGCAAATTGTTGCTCTATCACAACATGTCGATTTTACACCTGGGATGCATGTGCGGTTCTGGGACTACCCACTGAAGATGCCACTAGTATGTGCCCAAACGTGCGGGGTAGCAATTGACAGAGAAAGCTGTTGGGTGCGCTCTCTCTGGAAGCTCTGGCTAGTAGCGTTCTTTGCTTGCATTGAATCTTATTGTTAACTGCCATCTGGACTGTGTGACGATGGGTTGGTCTTTGTTGTGCTTTTGTGATTCCAACATCGCTAGAAGTGCTGCATCACATGTCCAGCGCCAGGCACCTTAGTCCCAACAGATGAGATGTGAGCCTTGTCCCACGTCGTAAGATAGTGCAAGGCGATGGAAAGCTTAATGTTGTCTGTATGAAAGTGAATGCTCAATGTCAGTAAATTTGTGCTCAACACAGGGGCTTTGCAGACAAGAAATCATGGGAGTTCACAGTGCCTTCTTCTAATGATCGTAGTTGACAAATCGTCTTCGTCTTGCTGCAAACTGTTACATCTCATTTAAGAGTGTAGTGTCACCCCCGTCCTGTCATAAGAGATGTCAGCCGCCAAACAAGAAACCGCGAGGCAATATGATCCAATGCCTTCAATGTTGTTTGTATGTAAAGACATGCTCCATTTCGTTTGGCCGTCTTTGGGGCCCCTAGTACATGAACAATCTTAGCAAACGCAATGGTTTGTTCTGAAGAACCGAATCATCAGATTGCTATCATTACTGTGGTCGTTCGCAAGATCAAATTGAGGCTCGAACTCAAAGGTATCTTGTCCCCGCCCCGAGGAAATCTCCAACATGTTTGCAGCCAGATCGTCTCGCCCAAGCGGTGACGGCTTTGTCCATCGGAGGCCAAAAGGGATCTGGCGTGGGTATGCAGGTCTACAAGCTGTCGAAGAGGAGAACACCGGGAAGCCACCAGGTGCCGGAAAGGCTACCAAAAGGCGGACGGCAGGGCGAGGGGCTGCAGCATGTGTTCCAGGTACAACGGGGTAACGCTGTGCAATGCGGAGCAGGGCGAATGCCAGTGCATCTTTGTGGCACTTGGCCATGTCCTTCGAACCCAAACTTGATGCTGCTGTGCCTGTCCATTCTTGCGGCGCCCTGCTTTGCACCGATGCAGTACGACTCGTGCTTGAAATTGGCTGTGACTGCAATGAGGTAGCCGTCCTCCTATTTTGCCCGAGAAAAGCAGTGTCTGTGATCAGTTCATTAAACTCTAATCTTAAACACATGCACAGTCTGTGAATTTGTTGTTTCCTTAACCCAAAAATTTCCTTGGCATGCTCTCACAATGGGACAGTCGCATTGAATGCTAGAATTCAGTGCATTATGGCTTGTGGATTGCCACACCGCTGCCCCGCTGTTGCCAAGTTACTCCCGCAGCAGTTGTGGCCTTTGCGACGATGTGTGGAGGGCGCCAAGGGAATCATTGCAGTGTGTCATTTGAAATAGTGGGCGGGAGGGGGGGGGGGGCGCAGGGTGCAGCATGACACACGATATGTGCATGAAACTAGGGGACGCTGAAACCCCAAGGAGCTATGACAAGACAGGGCATTAGGGGGTTAGGTGGGTGGGTGGGGTTGGGTGGGGTGGTGGGGTGGTGGTGGTGGTGGTGGTGGTGGGGCGCTTTGATGAGGCTATTTGCCACAGAAGGGAACAGAAACAACGACAGACAGGGCAACACGGGAATCAGCAGGCACCGCTGCGCACATTTGCATTGTAGACTGGTACTGCTGAACAGATGGCAATGGCATCTATTCATAATTTTTTGACAATCACCTTGTTCTGTAAAAGCTTTGATAATGATGATGTGAGCATGGCAAGCACGTTGTGCGCGCAATCTATTTTTCTATCTTGCACAGCTTTGCATCCTTGCCTTGTGCAGGCCGTTGGACTGGAGGCCCCTGCAGATCTGGAGCCGGACGACGGGGCGGCTGCACTGCCAGCACAGCCGGCGCCCAAGGCGGTGCAGAAGGCGCCTCAAATCACGCCCGCCCAGGTCGTACCTTTCGACTATGGTGCCGCGCCTCCCTTGGGATCGGAACCACAAAAACAAGGCCAGCGGGGGGTCCCTGGCGGCGCTGGACGCGATAGGGGTAGAAAGCGAGGAAGGGGCGAGGAAGCTGACGCGATGAAGAGGGGGATGGACCGAAGGGGCTGCACTGTGCGGCCTTTGTCTGGGAATCGATCAATGACCTTCAAGTGAACTGGGCAAAGTGTGAATGACGACATTTGATTCGGGCTCGCCAGGGGTTTTGGCTGGTTTGTAAACTCGCCGATTTGACACGCGCCCTGCATGCCTTCGTTTGCGTCAAGACGAATGGACAAGGCGCTGCCCGATGTCCTGCCCACCCATGGCATATGTTCTTATTGTCAGACGAACCACGAGTCCTGTGCGGGCGCCCTTCGAGGCACAGATGCTGCTGGTCCAATGTTTTGGCAGCTGCCAAGTCCGTTGTTGGACGTGCAGGGGAAACTCGTTTGAGTCCACTGCGCTGGCGGTCTACACCTGTTCGCAGGTTGAGGGAGCAGTTGATGGGCCTTTCTGCATGGTCTGTCGGCGCTGCAGCATTGTAATCGCGACATTGGCGGGGGCTTTCATCCTTCGCTTTGTGAAGGTTTCAGGGATGGGGACAAGGATGTTGGGGGGCAGAGTGATGGTGCAGGAAGCAGAGATCTGATGCAGAGTGCGAGCGAGGACGTCCGCGTGGCTTGGTGTGGTTTTGGCATGGGTTGACAGGAGCTCATAGGTGCATTGGCGTCCGCCAGTGCAGTCAGACGAGCCGCCGTTGCTGCCCCCGTGCTCGACAACTCCCTGTGTTGCTCGCGGATGTTTCTCTCAACTGTTGACGTTTAATTTAAGGACGATTGACAGAAGTGGGGCCCAGGCGACGAGAGTGGACATCAGCATCAGCGACCAATGACGGAAATGGGTCGGAGTGTGGTGCCTGATGTGGAAACATGAGCCAGTATCGGATTCCAACCATGCTGTGGCACATACCATGGGCCATGTCCTCCGTCGTGGGCGGGGGTTGCATCCAGTTGGCAGCCATCCATGGCTCTTCCCGGGTGTGATGTAAAATCGCCGAGATGTGACGACGTTGCAAAATGGCAAAACCGCTGCCGGCCGGCCTTTTTGGCTGCTGGAAGGAGATCAACAAGCCCTGTTGGGTGCTTTGGAAAAAGGTGCATGTGGTATAAGCGAATCAAACGAACAACGTCACTGGACGCAGAAGTTCACCTTCATATGCCATGCCAGCGGCACAGCCAGCGCAACATGCACAGAAGCAATCACTACGGCATCTACATTCAAAAGAACTATGATACAAAATGTCCAATTGCGCCTAGGGTGTTCCAACAAGCCGTATCAGTGTGCGAATACACCCAACGACATCGAGACAGGGGACGACTCGCTGCCTCCTTCCGCCTGGGCCACCAATGCAATCAACATGCTCGACCACCACCACGACGGAACGAACATCCACACGTCGAAATTCGACAGCATCAGCGTGCAAGCCAGGATGCCTTGCGCTTGTGCTGGCGGACGATGGGCTGATTGGTGAAGGAGCGTCACACCACACCAGCAGCTGCCTCCATGCCGCTGGCCCTTCCCACCACCACAGCTCTTCCAGACTTGTGTGCCAACGCCAACGCCAGCACTTGTGTTCCGTTCTTCTACGCCCCATATCCTGGGCGACCACCTTCTGCGTGCTCAAGCAATGGGTGCAGCAAACCAATCGTTGGCCATCCATCGAGCTTTCAAACGACCCCACGCACCCCTGCAAGCAATGTTCGGCCATTCAGGAAATGCAGGCAGTCGCAGATTTTGGCCAGTTCTCCACTCGGTTCAGTTTCATCCACCTTTGGCAGCGAAGTAAAATGTGAGCAACTCCTCTTCCGCCTCTCCTTTTGTCCATATTTCTTCTTGAACCACCTTGAGGGTTGCATCCTGCATGCGGTCGAGGTGCCGCTCCCTGCAGATCAAATCCAGGCCGCCTTCGATCTGCTGCCCGCCCAACGCAAGCTCGCTCTCCACAAGCTCGCCAACCCCTGCGACGGACATGCTCAGCGGCACACGAAAGTAGCTGAACTCGAGCGCTGGCAGTTTTCTCTCAGAGTGGAAGAAGTCCACAGGGAATACGGCAATGGCTACAGTGGACTCCTTTTTGGTGGGTGAAGGTGACCATGACCCTGACCCTTGTTTTTTCTTCTTGCCTGTGCCAACCCCATCCGAGGCCTCCGAAGGCCGCCTCTTTGTTGTGGAAGCGGGGGATGAGGTCCCAGGCCTGCACTCTGCTGCGGGGGAGTCCTCCCACTGCATACTCATCTGCCTCTCCAGTGACTTGCGGCAAAGGCGATCTGCAGTCTGCCTCAGGTTGTGCCTCGGGCTGAATTCCATCCACTCATCTTCAACTCCAGGCGCCCTGGACTGCACTCCCAGCTTCCCAGCATCGGCTCTGTGAGCACGGGGAGCAGCTGTGGTGGGGTTGCCTTCGCCAGCAGCCGGCGTTGCTGCAGGTACAAGCCCTGGGGTTCCCCCGGCATGGCTGCTGCTGTTGCCTGCCTGGCGACCCGCCCTGGGGGTGGCTTTCGCGCCGGTCAGCCTGCCCGACGAGTGTCTGCGCATGGCCCTCAGCTCCGCATCCCTCACATCGCATCTGTACTGCTCCTCCCTCTTCAGCCGCGCCTCTTCAAGCCGCTCGTCCAGCCCGGGCCTTGGAAAGATCTTCACGATGATCGCATTCAGTGCGGCATCGTGTCGCAGTGTCTGCTTCTCCTCGCCAAAGGGGTTGGCACCCAGCATGGTGGCCCGGAGGCCGTTGACATCAGGCTGCCCACAGCCATCTACTGGGCACTTGTTGGCGGCATTGCCCAGCTCGATCTTGTCCCAGATGCAGGCGAAGCAGTAGGTGTGCAGGCACACGAGGCAGGTGTGGGGGTCCTTGAGGATGTCCTTGCAGATGTCGCAGGCAAGGCACTCGGCAATGGGGCGTGAAGGGACATACACATAGCCCAATGGCAACTGCGCCGCGCTGGCTGACTGTGACAGCATGCCATCATGACAGCCTAACTCAGGCGCACCAGCTGGGGTGGCATCCATGGATGCACCCCTGTCTGTGTGGTCCATGTTTGCATCTCTTGCAATGGATGGCACCGTCTGCAGCTGGTTTGCGGCTTTGGAGATAGATGCCTGTTCTGCATTCCCACAGTTCTTCAGACAAAATTGACACTCAAACAATATGTCATCGCCTACAGGCGGCTGAGATCCACAATCACGTACCCATCCCCTCTCCACCCCAACCCAATCACACCTCCACACCAAACCCACCCAACACCCTACACCACACATTTTCTTCTGTATTCAGAGGAAGGCACTGGTGCAGGTTGACAACACTGTCTTCCTGCCTACGCTCTGGCCACCATCTTTGCATTTGCGTAGCACGGCTTTCCATCCTTTCGATTGTTCGCTCACAACAGTGGTAAGTCGTCTGATGCCTGTGGGCCTTGTCACGTAGGAATGCAACCCTGCAGTTTTGAGCACATGCTCTGTGTGCAACGCGTCCTCAAGAAACCACCACCCACAGCAACCCTCTGAAACTCATTGAATCGCACGTACCTCCCATCTCCTGCACTCCCTCCCTCTGTGCAGATGCCTCCATGCTCCCGCTTGCCTGTTGACAACCTGAGGGCCCCTGACGGGGGGAGGCAAGGCCTTTGCCGCTTACCACAGCAAGGGCCCCCAAGCTCCCGCTCAGTTGGTTTGCTCCTGAGGTTCCTTCTTGGGGCGAACTTGGGCATTCACCAGTTGCTGTGGGGAGGGCACATGAAGGATTCATTGTGTTTTCACAACCCTCCATGGAGTCGCATTCCGATGGACCATTGTCGATCACCACTACCTCCATGGGGTCACAGGGGCCAGCATCTTCCATGTGGTTCCCTGTCACCTCTTCAGTCAGGTCAATAACGACATCCATTCCTGGATCATCACATGTGTTTGCCTCACCAACAATGTTGCCTTCAGCATGAATCCAACACAGCAGGTCAACACCATCACCTCATCAGGAACTGGCGCATCGACACACAAAGCAACGCCATTTGTTTGGACGGCCAGCGCTTTGTCATGTTAACACAAGGCCCCCAACGAGGTTGTACTTGGGATCTCGGATGGCAGAAAAACAAAAAAAGCGCAAAATTGTTCAGAGAGCGCTTAGACACCTTGGGCCAGCTGCATCAGCGGCCAACTTCCAGCTGGGGAACTCTGTTTCTTTCCAATCCAAACCCGTGCGCTATAATCAAGAGCCCAACGCGCAGGATAAGGCATTCCATGTGGTTGTACAGTGGTGGGAACAGCCGCAGGAGGAGCAGCAGCCATCGTCCACGGTCCCCAATCTCCCACACCCCTAAAATTCAAATCCCATCAGCAAGATGGCGGGATTGCAACACCTTGATTGTTGGGGGCGTTCCAGCGCGCAACATGGCCCCAGCGCCTGCACGCAAAGCCTAAACATCAACATCCCACCCCAGGGCGTCCATCATCAGCACAGCGCGCCCACCCGTCCACCGATTTCCCACCGCAGCGAACTCCAAACAATCCAGGGCCGCCAACGTTCGCCGCCGGCACCGCCCCTTCGACCCATTGAACGATGTCGCCCATGCCCGCCACAAGCCCCACCAGGCAGGGGCGCTTCTGCGAAAATTTTGCCGGCATTGGCCCACCTTCTCGCGCGATGGGCGCCTTTCGCTCCGGCCGCCGGGCCTCGAGGTGCGATCGAAAGGATCGGAGGCGTGAACCGGGCGCCTGCGGCGCTGGCGCCGACGGGGCGCGCGGTCACGGAGGGGCAAGGGGTTGGGGCTGATTGCAAACGGAGGCTTGGGTCCGTTGGGATGAGTGCGCTGGGTTAGCGTGAACGGGCGGCCGCCGGTAAGCGCCCTGCGTGTGCCGCTGGGAGTCGGTTTTGGCACCCCGCGCGGAACAAAACCTGGACAACGGAATCCGCGGAGCAGACGCGACGGGACGATGATTTGCGGAACGGCCCAGCCCTACTTGGCGCTGGTTGGCAGGCTGCGGCCGGTCATTCCGGCGGAATTGGCAGACATTTGACTCGCGAAACACTTCATATTCCTGAGACTTGCGCTGCTACGGCTAGAACTGATTGAGTGTTCTTAATAACTGAGTGCATGAAAAGATGATGAAGCACTAGGAATTGCGTTAAGGATGTTGATGAACGGACGGAGTATAAAGGACAGAACGCTTGTTGTCCTTTTGCCTCGGCTGTAAACCGTTGTCGTGGACTCGAGCATACAATTCCCGTTCAGGGATCGCCACCCCTCGACCCTGCCTGCCTTCGTCAGCGCGCTCATTCGCAACGGAAGCGTCGCAGCCTGCCGCGACTGTGGAGCACTGTGCAGTTCTGATCAGGACACGTTCTCGAAAGGTCAAAACAGGCTATGATGGTCATTCTGGTGTCCGTTTGTATTGGAAATCTCGTCCGAACGAAATTGCAGCGCAGTGTGAGCCATGAGCACTATGATTGGGCTTAAAAGTCAAACGTGCTTGAAAGAGGCAGTGCACCTTGCAAAGTGGCCCTCAAGCCTTTTTTTTCCACGGAGTCATGAGCTCCCCTGGCAAACCCACCATTGTGTGCTTTGCATGGGAGTAAGTGTGATGCGGCACTGCCGCTGTTCGCCTGCCAAGAATGATTCACTCCAGCGACGACGAGGATGGACAGGGAGGGGCCATTGGCGTGCAGAGGCAATCGGCGGATTGCTGACTATTGATGAGCTCTGCGTCAAACGTCATGCAGGTGAACAGGAAGCAGCTGATCAAAAAGGGGAAAAGCAGACAGAAGGAAATTCCCAAGGTGCTGTCGTCTGGGCGACGTTGGACACCAGTGCCCCAACATCATCACCATCGGCAGCTCCAATTCCAAGCCGACACGATTTGGGACACGACCTGGGCCTCAAGTCCCAGACCGTCGGAAAGAGCTCAACGAAACGATGTTCTGGCCAGATGGCTGAACACTGTACCTGGCCAATTGTCTGTCAGTGGATCTGCTCCTGAACCGAACCTCTTGCCCATTCGTCCTCAGTCCATCACGCATAACTCATTTTTGTGGGGCAGCCAATCGATAATTGTTATGAAATTTCACCTGGTCGGTCATGGTGAGGAGGAGGAGAGTGCACCACGTGCCTTTTGTTGAATTCCCAAAGACGCTGATGAGCAAGTAAACAAGGTGGTTGCTGGGGCCAACACAAGGACCAGTAGCCAGCAAGATGGCACCACTCTCGGACGTTTACAGTCCATGAAAATGAAGATCGATATCCCACACTCCAGTGACAGCATTGCAGATGGATTCCGCAACATGATGGACACTTGCCACAAGTCTGCATCTTCTAAGCTGATTGATTCTACAAAAAATGAACCAATCACGTTTTGCTGAGGCGTCCAGCCACAACCACAAATCCTCAATCCCTGTTCAACTACATCTTGTCGGACACTGTGGGCAAGTTCTATCGTACTGTTGTGCATGTTATTCATTGTTGTAAGCCAACTGGTCCTCTCATTCCAAACTTCAACCACTCAGTACAAAATGCCACTCTTGTTGGAACACTGCCAAACAAGGCATTGGCTGCTTCAAACCTTCATGCATCATCATTGGTCAGCCATATCCCACCTGCTTGGTCAAAGAAATCGGATGATCGCCCCAGGGCAGAGATGCTTGTCAGTGCCAGTCTGATGCTGCCCATCCTTTGATTGCAACTGTTCAATGGCAGTAAGGCACTGCCTTTTGCACCTTCAAGGCGCTGGTGGGCCCAGTCTCATGGAGGCTGCAGTCTTGTGACAGTGGGAAGTGCCCTTGGCCCAAGAGGGTACTGGAAGATGAGAGCATCCACAGATCCACGGGTCATATCTGATTCGGCCAGGCACATGGTACACTCAACTAGAAGTTCATTGCAAACCTATCAATGGGGCGTTGCAAACGCACCACCTTTGCTGCAATTGCTCCAAGAAGAGAACGCAAGGAGCAGCAAGAAAACACAAAAATAACACAAATAGTGTACGTGAAGTACAAAACGGAAATGGGCATTGAAAAGGTCCACAAGCAAGTACATTCAAGCACAGGAGCCTGGAATCCAGACTCTGGATCCAGGTTTGCACATGGATGTGGATTGTATGCTACTGCGCTGTTGGCCTTGTTGGCAATGCATCCACATTTACAGAGTGCTGCACTAGAGGGAAATCTGCCTGAAAGGGCACTTGCACTTGGCACTTTCTGCTCCAAGGTGCTGCTCACAACAGCTCACAAGAATGTGATGGTTCTGCAAGATCTTAAGCTGCAAATGTGCTACAACTGTACCAGACAGTCAGGTCTGGTGGCTTGCCCAACAGCATTCTTTTCTGCGATGCCACCGCATCAACACCGCCACATACCAGGAGACTGGAAGGAACCTTTGTCACGTGGCAGCTCAACACAATCGTGGCTTTCACTGAGCTTGAATTGCAGGTGGCAATATTTTAGGTGCATCTATGCAACCGTTCGCTCTGCTGGAAGATGCTATGCCCACATCACTGGTATGTGTTTGGTTCCTCTATGCACAGGATGGGTCACCATTTCCTGTACATATAGGAGCAAGAAGTGCAGGCCAGTCTTGTAAATTGCATAAGATTCGGTGCTGCTCACAACAGCTCACAAGAATGTGATGGTTCTGCAAGATCTTAAGCTGCAAATGTGCTACAACTGTACCAGACAGTCAGGTCTGGTGGCTTGCCCAACAGCATTCTTTTCTGCGATGCCACCGCATCAACACCGCCACATACCAGGAGACTGGAAGGAACCTTTGTCACGTGGCAGCTCAACACAATCGTGGCTTTCACTGAGCTTGAATTGCAGGTGGCAATATTTTAGGTGCATCTATGCAACCGTTCGCTCTGCTGGAAGATGCTATGCCCACATCACTGGTATGTGTTTGGTTCCTCTATGCACAGGATGGGTCACCATTTCCTGTACATATAGGAGCAAGAAGTGCAGGCCAGTCTTGTAAATTGCATAAGATTCGGTGCAAGATTGGAGGAATGGAAAAATGGGCACACAGGGGTCTGTCAGTGGTGCTGGTGAAATGATAGCACTGGTGCTTCCCATTGCTAAATACTGCAAACACCTACTGCCACTGTCTTTCATTTTGCTCCTCCCTGTACAGTTCTCGCATTGTTTTCTCTTGTACTGAAGTCCACCAAACATCACCATTCAAAAGGCAACTGTCAGCTGTATGGACAGCCCATATCAATCCTCTGATTCCATATAAGTTTTGAGCAGGCTTAAACATATCAGATGTGTGTAACCCAGATTCTGAGCTGCACACGAGCACAACACTGTTTGCAGCTGGGAAAACAGACACTCAAATCCCTACCTTGCTGATATATGGGACATCATGGACGAAAGCGCTCCAGTGTGGCTGCAGCTAAACTCAACAGCTCGAGCAGTGTACCAGTTGCAGCCCTCAAGAGCCTTGCCTCAGTTGCCTCGAATTTGATCACAACCTTGTGCCCATCCACGGTCAGCTCTCTGGACACCTGTTCAGACCATTGCGTCAGAGTTCCGTTGTCAAATCTGAGACACTGAACCTGGCCATGAGTTGTGAGAGGTGCGCGGGATTTGGGCTGTGCGGGATTGTTCTGGAAGCATCCAAATGCCCGCTACCATCACGGAAGCCCACGAGTCCAACGCGGGAACTCTTGCCTCCCAATTCAATCACCACATCTCTGCGACCACCGCGTGAATGAATGAAATTCCTTGCAGTCAACGTGAAATATCGACACACTGGTCATGCTACGTGTCTCTCCCAAGTTTCAAGTGTCTCTCAAGTTGCTGCGACAGTTAGGTGACAATTGGCAACCGAACGGATATGCTTTGCTGTGAATGTTGCAGCTAACAACCTCACCACACCCAGATAACATGTAGTCAAACAGCGTCCCTTTGCTGGCGGACTACAATGACCTCACGATAATTGGCAGAAACGCCACCCCCACGGGAAACCCACCGCGTGAAACACCCAACCTGTTCCGTTCGCAGCTCCGCGTCCACCGCAACCGCGTTGACGACGGCCCTGGCGTCGGCCTCCGACGCGAAAGGGATCGTGGCCGAGAACACGTTTGGCTTAGGCTGCGCGCCGGGGTGTGCGTTGTTCGGGGCGGCGAATGCGGGAGCGGCCTGTGGGGGGGCGTTGGCCGCCATCCCGCAGCGGGGGGAGGGGGAAGGAGGGGTCTGGGTTCCGGGGGCTGAGTACCAAGAAACTGCGGTCATCGGTTTTTAAGTCGTCGAGTGATTCTGTTCAGCGGAATGGTTGACTGGTCAGGGTAAGCACGTGGGTGATGAGGGCAGTAAGGCGTGGGTGTGGTGAGAGGCAGATCGGGGACGTAGGTATGGACGTAGCTGTGTGGGAGAACGTGGGCGTGAGGGAGTTAGTGGGTAGGGACCTCAGGAACGTCGGCGGGCGGACGGGTCCAGGTAGGCCGGCCTAGAGGTATAGCTATGGGCGCAAGGGGACAGAACGTAGAGGGGAGACAGGTTAGTGAGTTCAGGGTGACTTCTCGGGGTTTCATCCCAGCGGGGGCTGCCAGTAGGATGTGGGTGAAGTGTCAGTCAAGACATACGAGTAAACACGCTGTCAAGCAACCTGTACGCTCGGACAAACTGTCGGGATTTGGAACGGGCATATAAAGGGCTGGACACCTTTTGTAATGACTGACGGTTGACGGACCGCGACGGTCATAGGCCACGAGGGCCTGTTTCACCCACGCGAACCCCCGCCGGGCATCTGCGAAGGAGCCGGCCGCTGTGCTGCCTCATCAAGGGCACCGGCGTAACAGTGGTTCCGACGCCGGGACCTTCGCGAGGACGGCGGGGAGGAGCATGGAGCGTCAAACGGCAGCGGGAGGCTGCCGAGGAAGCGATTGGTGGCGGGAGCGCTATCGATTGGGAGTGTGGTGATTGCTGAGGAACGATGCGACTGCGGCCGCGTTTCTTTGCGGGGGATGGATCGCAAGAGGACGTAGAGGGCTGGTTGTTGCACTTTGAAGGCATCTGTGTCGCGGGAGGGGTCGCGAACGATGCGCAGCGAATTGCCTTGCTGACTGTGAGCACATCGGGTGAAGCGACGCGATGGGTGCGCGCGTGATCCAGGTGGCTGTTCAATGAGAACCGAACTTGGCAAGAAGTGAAGGAGGCGTTCCGGGTTCGATTTCTGGAAGAAGATATAGAGGACCGGGTCAACGCATCGTTGAGAACGCTCGCGCAGAAGGACGGCGAGTCGGTCAAGGAATATCTGAGTCGATTCCGCGAACTGTTGGCTAAATCGGACGAAGCCACCGAGGCGGCATGGTATCATTCCTGGGTCGACGGGTTGAGAGACCCCTTGCAAGAGGCAGTGAAGTTCCTGAGTTATGTTGACCTCGAAAGCGCAGCTGACATTGCCACGAGGAAGGAATGCGCGTCGCGAAATATGGATGCGGAAGACACTTGCCGGTCAATGATGAGCGACCGGACATGGGGGCTGAGCTTCTCGACGCTTTGGGGGAATGGGCATTGCGAGCACGTGCGCGGGGAGGTACGCGACCGGATGGGGGTAATCCTGGGGAAGGGAGTGGAGCTCGACCGCGGTTTAGGCAGCGGGAGCCTCGACCGACCGGGGGACCTTCCTCTAGGCCACCGCGACCGCCTGGGCTGACGGGGCCTCAAGAAGCGCATGAGCGGGGACCCATGCGAGGTGTTGCGGCCCCGTCGGCAGCCGCTGGTTTCCGGAGTCGTGGGGGTCGCCCTGCCCTGCGGCTCGGCTGTTGGAGGTCAGCCGGCGCTCTCCACCTCGGATGGTGGGCGTATCCGGGGCAGTCGTTTCCTTGGTCACGCGGTGGGCCCAATGCTCGACGGGGATCGATCCCCAGGGCCTGCTGTCGGCGAGTGGTGGCGGCGCAGCGAGGCGGTGGTTTGCTGGCTCGCGGGAGGCCAGAGAGTGGGCCAAAAGTGTTACAACGATTCACTGCATGCGCGCGCACATATCGCATGCGCGATGCCCGATCGCGGGTCCATCGCGGTCACATCATGACAAGACAAGACAAGTGCGCGTCCAGGCGCATTGTCACCGTCCACCATTCACCTAAATCAGCTCCACATAATCCCCGATGCTTCCATCTACCGGTCCGAATCCCATGCTAAAGTATTGCAACTTCAACTGGCCATAACTTCGCCGTTTCTACACGGAATTGGACGTTTCAAGTCGCTATTGACATCAGGAGCTCCTGAATAAGCTGATTTTGCCGTATTTGCACTTTTTTGACCAACCGCCGCTTCAGAAATATCAATTTTAGCCTAACCCCAAGCAGCCACGTCACACGAGGGGCGGTTGAGTGCTGGCGATGCGGGAAGTTGGGCCATGTGCAATGGCAGTGTACTGAGCCTGTTTTGGAACAAGGAGGGAGGGGCTGACCGAATCCGGGGGAGCATGCGCCTGGTCGCGCGGCTCCCGAGCAGCCTCGTCTGACTGGGGGAAATCGCGCCGGACCCGCACGTGATGCACCGCGCCGATCTAACGAACAGAATGGTGTCCGCGTGGGACGATTGGCCCAAGCGATACTGACGGGTGCGTGTGTGGGAGGCGTCGGTGGCAAAATGGACGACTGGACCATGGAGGGGGCCGATGATCATGGGGACGATGATTGGAGTGATAACGAGCGATCCGCCGCACGCATGGCGGGCGATCGCAAGCGCCGGAAAGGGGAAGGCCCTCGGAAACCCCGCTCTCGCCCCGTCCTGTTGCCGGAATGGAAGGATTACGTGGCGAAGACCTGCGTCATCCCAATCGGCATGATGAAGGGCCTGTCTAAGAGGGAGGTATATACCCAACTTGTCTTGGCGGTGAGGGAGTTACTGGGAGCGACGCGAAAACCCCGCGCTGTTGGGGGATCGGCAGGCCAGGGTAATGAAGCGCCGCCGGTTGCACGTATTGCCGGAACGGGGATCCATGCGCAGTGTACGGTGAACGGGTTGCACGTGCGCAGGGTGATATTGGATCCAGGATCATCCCATTCACTCATTGATAAGACTTGCGCGGATCGGTTGCGGTTGCGCATTGCGGGGAAGCTTCCCGGGATTGAGCTGGCGAATGGTCAGACGGCTCTGGTATACCGCTTGGCAGAGGACGCCACTGTGGAAATTCAAGGCGTCTCGGCTTCAGTACCCGCTCGATGCGTGGACGCAAATGGCTCCTACGATGTGTTGTTGGGGCAGGACTGGCTCGCGCTGACCAATACAGGGGCCCAATTCAATTCGCAGATTTACATGCTTGCCGGGGGGGGAGTGCAAGTCCGCCAACGGGGGAGGCAACTGGAAGTAGTCGCGATGGACACCAGTAGCGATAGTGAGTCGGATGTAAGTTGCGAGTATGATTGTGATTCGGGTCCGGATGGCGCAGTAGAAGAGCTGGACGGGCTCCTAGCGCAGTTGGGAATGAGCTCCACCGCGCCGGAAGGAGACGATGGGGTGATGCCTGCGCGGTTGGCTGGGTTACCGCGCATTCAAGATGACGTGGATAACGCGTGGCTAGGAGAGATCCATTTTGGACCCTCGCTCAGCGCAGCAGTCGTGACGGAGATTAAGACCGTGTTAGTTGAATTCAAGGATTGCTTCGCACTGTCGTACGCTGATCTGGAACGAACGCCGTACATGAAGTTCGCCATTAATCTGAGGGAAGGGAGCCGCCCGGTGCGATGTGGGCGTCAGCGCCAATTTGCTCCCAAGGAACTGGCATTTCTCCGCGAGCAGCTCGATGCCTTATTGGATGCTGGATTCATCGAAAAATGGGACGGGGAAGTTGAATGGCTTTCGGGCGTTACGCTACCCCCGAAGAAGAATGGGGACTTGCGATTGTGTTGCACCTTCGTGGCCTTGAATCGGGCCACATTACCCAACGCATTTCCCTTGCCGCGCGTAGACAAAATCCTGGAGGAGTTGGCTGGCTCGCCATTGTACTCGAGCGTTGACGGTTTTAGCGGCTACTATGCCATGGAGATGGAAGACAGCTCGCGCCCCCTAACGGCCTTTTTGACCCCATTGGGAGTGTTCGTGTGGAACGTCCTGCCGTTCGGTGTTTGTAATGGCCCGCCTCGATATTCGCGAGTGGTGGATGCTGCGTATGGACCCTTGGAGCGGGTGCGGTCTTTCGTAGACAACGCGGGAATGGCGCATGAAGGGGAAGAAGGCATCGCAGCTAATTTCCGACGGGTTTTGGAGCGAACTCGGGAATATAAGCTGAAGTTAAAGCCCAGTAAGACTTTCGTGGGGTTTGAACAATTGGAATTTCTGGGGCATATGTTGTCTAAGGACGGCTTGGGAACGGTCAGCAGCAAGGTGATGGCGGTGCGTGAATTTGCGATTCCCAAGACTCGCCAGCAGCTCCAGTCATTTTTGGGGCTCGCAGGGTACTACCGACGATTCGTGAAGGGATTCAGCGAAATTGCCAGACCATTGAGCCAGCTGGTGGCGGCCATGGGCGCACGCAGTCAAGTGGGAAGTACTGACTGGGGGAAGGAGCAGCAGGACGCTTTCGATCGATTGCGCAACGAATTGTGCAGGGCGCCTGTCTTGGCAAAACCGGATTTCACCCTACCGTTCGTTTTAGACTGCGATGCTAGCGCGGTGGTGGTTGGATGTGTGCTTTCGCAAGTCAGAGATGGTGTGGAGCGGCCGGTCGCGTATCACTCCCGAGTTCTGACGGGGCCCGAGCGAAATTACTCAACCACAAAGCGTGAGTGTTTGGCGCTAGTGGTGGGCGTAGTAAAATACCGGCCCTACGTGTTGGGGGTCCGGTGCCTCATCAGAACCGATCACCACCCGCTGATTGGATTAATTCGCAAAGACGGGCACACAGGGAGGATTGCGCGGTGGCAAGCGATTTTGGGGGAATTTGAATTGGAATTCATCACAAGGGAAGGGCGGCGCCACGCGAATGCAGACGGGTTGTCTTGCGTGCTTCCCAAGTCGATCCAAGTTCCAAAGGAGGCGGGAGATGAATTGTGTTTCGCCGCAAGGGACTTGGAAATCCCCGCAGAGCTTCGGCGATTGTTTGAGAGCCCCTGGTACCGCGAAATCATCGAATGGACTCTGGCCAACCCGCAGCCGTTGGAATACCGCATCGTCGGGGGACGGCTGATTAAGCAGCTGCCAGTTCAAGGACAGGTTTTGTGCCTGCTGGAGTCGGAGGTACCTAACGCGCTGCTGCAAGGGCATGACTCGGTGTTAGGGGGTCATTA